TTAGTTGAATTTGATGGTAACAGTTATGCAGTTAGAACTAGTTAAACAGATCTGATGCAAAAAGATTTACCTCATTATTTTTTCACTTGAGAATTTCTGCCTCTTCTCATAATCCTGAACAGCCAACTCGGAATGGCTTAGATGATGGTTTATATTATCTTTTACTGGAGTTGTCGTGCCTCCCATCCCCATAAATCCACTGCAAGATGCTCCAATATCAGATCTCATTAGTGATGCAATCAAGGAAGCAGAATTATATCAGCCATATTATCCATGACACTTGACTATGGTATTTTTAAAAGTATATAAAAAAGTTTGACTTACCGATATGTAGGAGACCCACCAAACATAGATGGCATAAATGTAGGAACAGAAAAAGGTGTGACAGGAATCATTGTTGCATTAAAGGGCATCATCCCTGCATTGCCAAATGTGATTGGAAAGGGCCTAGGCCTACCATGGGGGAAGGAATGCCCATTCCAACAAGGTGATCCATAACCGTAACCTGGCATTGGTCCTGGAAACATAGCATGCCCTACAATGCCAAGAGAAGGTAATATCAAAGGCGTAGCTCAAATGGCAGAAACAAGCACAAAGAATGTGAAAGTGGCAATTACCCCTCTGAAACAAGGGATGTGGACTAGAAGCAACAGGACAATCTCTTATCAAATGATCTGGAGAACCACACATGTAGCAGGTACGATCCCCCTGAAAGTTACTTTCAAATGATATCAATAGAATTATAAATATGAAATGCTAAAAGGTTGACACAGGGTAGAGAAGAGGAAGATCAACATTATATATCTGCAAGGTTAATATCTCCTAGAATTCAAGAAAAAGAACACATGCAACAAAATAAAGAAAATATCCAGCCATTTGGACCCAGAAAAGGTCAGCAAAAAATGGAAAACACCAAAGCAGGCAAATAGATTGAAACCAGCTATTAGAACTGGGAAGAGTTTACCATCAAAGAGATTTTGTAATGATACTCGAGATTATTTTTCCAAAGTGAACAAAAGGCTGATATTTAAATTCGTAAGCCCATGGCCATTTCCTAACTCTGCTAATACAGTGACAAGGTATGACATGCTTTAGTTTGCCGATTGATACAAAACCATACCTTTTTGTATCTTCCAGTCTCAACAAAATTCTTCTTTTCATCTGCAAGAATTAACAAAGAAGATTTGAATAGAGGTGATATCTAGATTTGGCTTCAGCTAAGGACAAAATTAAGCTACAGTTTCTGGTATTCTACCTGCACCTTTAACCCACATGGTCCCCTTTGTCTTGATGTTGGATTCAGCTGGAGTTACACAAGAAACAAGGATCATAAGTTCCATAACCAAAAAATGAAGATAGTGCAACTGCATGTAATGAAGTGAGATTTAAGTGATTTGGACAATATCCAGAAATAGAGGTGACACCCGGTGCAAATTTAAATATTAATATGACAGAACAAGATCTCATAGTCATAAAATTTAGCAGGTAAATAACTCTAAACTTTCAGAGATGATACCTTCCTCATGAATAGGTTGGCTTTCTCCCTGAAAATCAGCAAAATCTGCTGAGTTCTCAGGTCCATTCTTCAACTCCACATGATGGGCAGAACCATCTCTCTCTTGATCTACTTGTTGTAATTTGAGTGACAAGGGAAGCAATTTGATCTTTTCATCTTCAGCTAAAGGATTGGCAGGAGAATCAGTGCCACCAATAGATTCAATGGCAACCTGATTGGAACCCCTTCCCGTTGCAGAGGAAGATGGAGGCAAATGATGTTCCTTTTGAAGGATAGAAATTGCACAAGAAACATCTTTTGCTTGAATTCCAGATTCTCCATCTGATTTTGGATTACTAAATTAATTATTCTATTCACTTGCTGTGAGAAACATAAAAGGGGCAAAGGAGAGAGAGAAGAAAATTTGGAGTATTGTTGGTATACCAGGAGCATATCCATGCAAAGCGTTTTCTGAACCACTCATAAGAAGTCGAGACTGAAGGAAATGCTCAATGGCACACCTAAGGGATACATTTGGTAGTAAATCTTCTATGCTGCATTTGGTAGAGAAACATTTGGGACATCTTGCCTTCTCAACAAGAACTTCAGAAATGCCTACAACCAAACATCACCATTAATATGTCCAACACATTCAGTTGTAAAGCAAGCAATAAACAACCAAATTGATAAAATTTTATAAAATAATAAGTTCTGTGTATCTATCAACCAATCTCACACAAACATTTTTTTTCTATAACTACCAAAAAGGATTTTTCATAAGAAGCTCAAAAAAAATTTCCAGTTAAATCAAAAAAAAAAAAAAAGAAAAAGAAAAAGAAAAGAAAAGAAAAGAAAAGAAAAATGCTACTGCTGTCTGGAAATATGAAATGACGCAACTAAAACGCTTAAATACTTACATATCTCACAGAAACTGTGCTGGCAACAAGGAATCATTACAGCATTCTTAAAGTATGTGTTGCAAAGGTAGCATTTAAGTTCAGAAGGAAAATCGGTATTCTGCAAGTCTGGAGAACTGGCATCTACAGCTCTTTTGAGTATCCATACACAAAACATATAGAAGTAAAAAAAAAAAAAGAAAATTTAATGAGGTCATAAAGCCAAATAACGGGCTAACAGAATACAAAGGGAAATGGGTAACTACAATTCTTACTTTGAAAATCTTATGTTTGGTTCAACACTGGGTCTTGATTTAGTCTCTGGTGCTTTGTCATCAAAACCAGCATGATCTAAAATTGACATATGAATCAATGCATGACAAGTCAGAGATCCATAGAAGGGGGCGCGCGCACGCACGCGCGTGTGTGTGTGTGTGGCTGTCTAGTGGAGGAAATAGAAAAGAATTGCTTGCCTCTTGGTATAGCCTCTCTAATGTCAGTTCCATCAAGTTCTTGACATTCTACTGTTGGTGGCTCATGGCACCTAAGTACATAGAAATGACTCAATTATATAATAAAAATAATAAAAATGAAATAGGTAAAGAATCCACCTGAACTTTCAATGAATATAAATAACAGGTTATTTGTGTGTAAAACAAAATCCAAGAACTACTACCTCCTCATTTCAATATTTGTCTTCTCATTACCAATAAAATATTTCTTATCAATATCAGGATCGATGCCAGATAATGTTGACTGAGAAACAGGACATAATTCAGCTCCAAAGTCATCAAAGTCTATGGTTTCTGCTTTCTGTCATGCCAACAGTCAAGAGGTTAAAACTAAAATAAGAGAAAATTCTCTGAATGTCACAATTCATTCCATGCATGCAACCAGTTATTGATCTAAAATTCTGCAATCGTCATAAAATCATGCAGCACATATTTTAAGCCTGTTCAGCATCCATTCTAACTATAACACCACTAAGCTTTATCTGCAGCAGTAATTTTTGATAATTGCCCATTATGTAATGAACAATCCCAGTCCTTAAAGCCTGCCTTTCCTTTTTCGTTTCTTGACATCCAAGCATAAAAGTAAACCACTAACTGAATTACCTAGCAGAGTGCAATTATTCTTTAAAGACAATAGTCAACTGCAAAAAAAGGCAAGTACAAAACTCACCACTGGAAGAGAGGCCTTAACCATATCGACATCTATAGTTGCAAAGTTGTCAAGTGAGCTGCCGTGTACCCTGCATGCACCACAGCAATATATATCACACAGAAGCCACAGAACAGACTTCACAACCACAAATTGCATGACAAACACTCTCCATGTATTAGAACATATAAGGTAAGATTCAAGGATGAGAAATACTGCTTACTTATTAGAAGGAACCGTCCCCGCAGGGACTCTCTTTATAATCACACTTGAGCCACATGGAATTTGAACATCTTCGTCGACGTACTCTGAATCAAATCCAAGTAACAATCAAAACATACAAATGATTTTAATCGCAACGGATCCACAGAAGACAATAACCCAAGATAAACAAAATTTCAGCCAGCATTCAACTTCAACACCTGCTTTTCATCAAGAAAATAAACAAATCTGCTGAATCCTATCTACGACGAGTTCATTCATATATACGAAATGAAACTCCCGTTCAAAATCCTGAAAACGGACCTAAGCCTCCAATAAGTATCAAATTAATTCCCGCTGTACGCAAATTCAAAGCACCGAGATATGAAGAAAGTTAAAGAAAGAGAAGGAGAGGTGACCTTGGCCGGTGAAATGATCGGAGAAGACGAGATCGGAATCTTGGCAGATATTGAGTTTCTTGTTGTGGATGATTTTGGATTTGAGATCGCGAACGGAGATAGAAGGCAGGCCTGCAATGTCGACGGAGTCGAAGTTGGGCGCGCTTCTGAATTTGAACCGAACGGACATGGCTGAGTTGAATCGGAGGATGGGATTAGGAACGAAGTTTCATGAATAGTCTGGAGGAGAAAGAGGGAAAAGGGGTTTGATTAAAAGTAGGGTTATATAAATTGGGGGCATGAAAAAATATAAAAAACTTAGCGTAGGCGGTTAATCCATTTTGGCATGCACGGCCACGTGCCCTTTTTTTTGGAAAGTGACATCCCCACGTGCATATAAAAATATATAGAGATAGGATATACTTAAATATTATATATTATATTTATATAATTTTTTTTTATTTTTTATTTTTAATAATAAAGATTTATTTATTTTTATTTTATTTATTAAAATTAATTATTTCATATAAAAATATTATGATAAAATTTAATTATTAAAATTTTAAAAATAAATAATTAAAATTTTATATAAACATAAGACGTATGTAAAAGTAACTCATTATTTATATATAATTTAAAAAATAATATAGTTACAATACTATATAGTACTATAATTACAACATGAAATATTGTTGTATAATTAGATATTTTTTATTTAAAAGTCTACTTATAATACTATATACATCAACTTATTTAATAACATATTATATTCATTTAATATCGTATCAAGATGGTAAACTTATATTCATTTGTAGCATTATAAGTATAGCATTAGTTATATATATTTTCTAAGGTAAAACTTCCAATAAAGATACAAAAGTACTTATTTTACCATATGTCTGAGTTGAGTGAAATATAAGAGAGGAGAGGGAAATTTTATTTCTCTATACCCTTTCATTTATTTCTCTCGTTTAGATAAATAAATAAATTAAAAAAATAAGGTAAAGAAATTTTTTTCCTCTTTTCTTCTAGTTCTTTTAATAATCAAATAAAGAAAAAATTTCCCCTTCCTTCCACCCAAATATACTATTAAAGTTTCAAAAATTATAAATATAAATATAAATAATAGGTGGGTTTAATTAAATAAATTAAATATTTCAAATTATAAATATAAATAATAACTATTGTCAACAATTAGA